AATTAATTGAAAATTTCATATTTTTATAAAGATTTGTACTATTCAATAATGAAACCTTTTGGATTATTTCTTATTTAAAAGAATATATTACATATAAATCGTTTATATTAACCCTAATTGATCACTGGGGATCACTGTGATCCCACCAAAAGTTTGGCCTAAATTTTTACCAATGTAAATTTTGAAATAACGCCTGACGTTCCATCTACCAATAGTTTGAGTCTCTAACTACATTACCATGCGGTTGGCATGACGTAAAACACGTTAGGCGCTCCGCATAATAAAAGGAACAGGAAACAGAGAATCAGAATTTCAACCTATCAGAAACTGCATTCCATAATACATGATTTCTAATAGATTGAAATTCTTATTCTCTGTTTTCAATTCTTTGTTCTATTATTGTTTTCAACAATCGAGCGAAGTAGACGTATCATATTGCTCACCTCAAATCACCTCAATCAATCTTCAAAATAAATACTTTTTTTGAAACGCGTGCTATTGCAACAACTTTTTTATCAAAGTGCAGCATCTGAAGACTTTATCCCTAAAATTTTACGCAAAAATATTAAAAAATAAAAAAGTTATTTCTTTAATAAAAAAAAAAGTCACTTTTCACGTAGACTTTCATTCGTGAATTTTTTTGACTATTTAAAAATTATTAATTCAGCAAAAAACCAATGCGAATACATATTTTAAAGTTCAAAGAATGTCCGTAATTTTTTTTATCCTATATCTATGAAAATAAAGCTGTGACAGCTATTTAAACGTGCTGAAATCATGTTGACCCGTGTGATCATTACGTAATTTTCACGAAATGTGATCATCGAGGGTTAAATATAAATCATTTATGTGCATTCAGATATTATTTTAAATCCATTAAAAGGTTTAGATGGTTCAAAATATTACATTCATTTTGATGATATTCACCCACAAAATACGTAGAACAGAATCATCCAAAAACTCATTCTTCTTAAAAGCATTGTCTATTTGATCTCGCGAAACTATCTTCAATTTATGCAATAATGCCAACGCGGTTTGCAATGAGATCAAATGAATAGAAAGAATGTGTTTCTCAGAATCACGAGGAACATTTAGAGGATATCTAAAATGATAAAAGTATATTTCTACATTAAAAATGTGTATGTGTATGTGTGTGTGAAATCGTAATATCATAACAAAATACAATGAAGATGTATAAATTATATATACAAGATAGGGAAAAAAATGTCAATGTCCCTAATAACTTGAAAAATATAAGTTTTATAGAAAAATGTTTCAGACAACAAAAGTTGTAGGACTTAAACAGATCTATTTACCGATTTTGTCAATTTGATCTTGAGTATCATCAACAAAGTCAAATAAAGATTGATTTTTTTAATGGATAGAACATCCTATTTTTGATGCCAGAATCTAATAGCTAATGTCAAGAGCTTTTCAAAACTGTAATAAAGTTCTTTTTCATTAAATACTTTCCGAATTTATAAGTACCGCCGGTACTGTAACTTTCATTTTTGTGTAAAAATTAATGTTTAATGTAAAAATGAAAATAAGAGGAATAATCTCCAATGGCCTTGATCTTGACAAATGTTCTCCAGAACATGATCCCGAACAAAAAGTTTTAGCCGTTGGTCGGACACCTTGCGTAATGCTAATGCCGGCGGTACTATAATTTTCAAGTCTTATAACTCGAAAAGTACTTAATATAAAATAACTTTATTAGTGTTTTGAAAAGCTCTTGACACCAGCTATTAGATTCTGACATCAAAAATAGAGTCTTCTATTAAAACAAAATCAATATGACCTTGACTTGACTTTGGCGATGCCACCTAAGGTCAAACTGATAAGATCAGTAAATAGATCTTTTAAACCTTATCACTTTTGTCCGAATCATTTTTCTATAAAACTTATATTTTTCGAATTATTCAGGGGTGCCGACCTTTTTTCCCCACTCTGTATGTAATTATATACATTTAAAAAATATATATATGTAACAAAATAGGAATATTTTATTGTAAATATTTTGTAAATACTACGTGAGAAATTGTGGAAATTATAAATGCCTTTTGAGTCTTTATGAGAAATCTTTTTGATTTCGATCATCATCTCATGTATGCTACGGTTTTAGGTACAAGAAATTATATTGAAAATGAGATGATGCGTGAAGGAGTATGACAAATACAACTCATATCGGGAACCCATATTTTAATATAAGATTAAAGATAGTAATTACAAGTATTAAAATATTCAAATTTACCTGTCTAGTTGTAAAAATTGTGATGGATACTGAGATCTTAGGATTTCTTTGAAAGTCATTTTTAAATTCAACATCTCTAGCTTGGTCAACAAATGAGAGAGCAACTTGAAACTCGTAAAGACTTCTACAAACTCATTTGTCAATATCCAACCGTCCTGTTCGAAATGAAATATAAATGTTACGCCTTCAACTGAATCTACAAAAAAAATGTTAGTGGTTAATTTCATATCGAAAGATAAATATAGTTCAATTAGCTAAATATTTAATAAAATCATACCAATTTTCTGAAATAGAAAAGGGTTAAAAGCCACATTCCTGTTTTGCACAGATCCTTTCTCATTGTTGTGCCAGGAATTCGCGTAAATATCCATTGATCCCTCTTTGTCATAACCGTCGTTAACTTTAAAAATATTACTCGAATTGGTTACTTCATTCTTTCGAGATACTGATTTTCTATCATTATCACAGTTCCAATCTTGGTGAGCTAAAGTAATCGGTGTATTCTCGCTGTGATTCAATAAAGGAATGCTGCTTTGGTACTTCGAATTAGTCCAATCTGGAATCTCGAATTGATTCCAAGACTGCGATACTGTTTGCAAATTGTCCGCGTTACTGTTTTGATGGCAATAAATCACTTCGCCATTTGTCGACTGTGAACCTTGCATGAAATATGTCGATAGTCGAGTAACATAGTTCTCGTCACTGTGCGAATTATCTCTTTTATTATTTATTATATTGTTATTTACAGTGTGCTGTGTATGCAAAGAAGCAATATTTTTTGCAGACTGCGAAACCTGAGATGCAAGTTTTTTATTGCTTTGTTCTAATTTAAGAAATTGAGCGTTTTGAACATTATCAAAATTGCTACTACATGCATTCTGCCTTACATTTGTATTTACATTTACATCTGTTTGCTTCTTCTGTGTATTATACATTACAGGATCGGATTCATAAACGATTTTCGGAGTGTAACTTTCATTGACATGTCCCAGGTTGCTGACAGACGTAAAGCCATTGTTCTTCGCATGAATATCCGCAGTTTCTGTATTTAAAACATTGCTTTGTAAATTTTTAGTCGAGAGACACAAGATACCTATATCGTAGTTATTAACTGTTCGCTCAGTCTGAATTTCTGGTACTTGTGTTCCGGAAACATCAGTCATGGAAAATTTGAAAGGATTTGTATCTTTGAACATAGCGGGAAACTGGGTGTTCATATTATTTACTTCTGAGCAACTATTGCAGAAATTAGTATTCGTTGACACCGCAGGAGATACCGGCGTCAAGGGAACGTTTTCGCTATCCTGATTGGCTTCTGGAAGAAAAGTATTGGTTGGTAGTATATGATTAGTGAACATTGAAGGTGTGGGACTTGATGTTGATGGAGGTATTTGCATACTGCAAGGTATTTGCGGACTGAGTTCGTCAGATTGACTCCAGTTGCCAATTTTAAAAGAGAAACTGTCTGAACCGAAAGGAAATGTAGTGTTATTCTGTAGTCTATCATCGACGTTTATGCCAAACGGATTAGACATCGAGGAAATATTTACATTAGGCTCCTGATTCGCAGCAGTTTCATTGTTTAAATTATACGATACTTTCTGTGCCGAATCAACATCGTTCAATGTTGTTCTGCTTGTAAGATTAGGTGCTGTCGGAGTTTTCATGACAGTGGAACGATCATCTTTTTGTTCTAATAAAATCTTCTTAACAATCTTCAAAATCTTATTTAACTGAATCTGATCCTTCAATGAGAGTGATAAACATTTTAGCATTTCACAAAGAATTTCATTCACCCCAGTATGCAATTTTTTATTCTCATTCCAGATTGTTATGTATAACTGTTCGACATCACTAGGAATGAATTGTTCATCAGTTAGAAATGGATTCGTTGTTGCCTGTGCATCGCTAAAGATTGACGCCTTCGTGTTCGATGCGTTTGATGGGTTTGCAAAGGAATAGCCGTTTTGAAAACTCTTTGTCGAGGCATTAGACGGAATACGTTGTTCATCGAGAGATTGAAAACCTGGCGGTGGTCTCACTAGCTGTTGTTGATATTGACTATCGTAATGTGTCAGTCCGGATGAGACTAAAGGTACTTCGTATTTTTCCTCTGTCGATGTGGCTTTGTAGCAATTCTCGGGCATCAGGCTCTCCTCCGCAAAGCAATACGACGGTTTTTGGTTCATATTGTTTACCACATATTTCATTAAGCTCGCCATGTCAACGGCATCACCCTAAGTGATGAAAGTAAAAGGGAAAAGATCAGATAAAGTGATACATTTGATGAAATCATGATAAAATTTTCAATTTTAGAAAGTAAACAATCAAATGAAATTTAAAATTTCAGAAAGCAAATGTTTGAATTTTAGATTTTCACAAGTAAATGCTCGAATATCGATAAATTTTTAAACAAACTCGAAGTAACGATTGGATTAGCCAACCTAAAGAATTCGGGAAAAATTATCACTTTATGAGATCGTTACAATACCATGCCTATAATAAACTGCACACACATACTTTTGCACATTCATATTTCTTTATTACAATGTGGTATTAAGTAACAACCACAATTACAAATACAAATAACACCACATAAGGTTCTAATTTTTCCCAGAATCATAAATTAATATCCTAATATATATATTACATAAACGCAAAATGATTACAGAGATAAACACATATTACGTGTAGTTCAATTTCATAATTTAATTGTATAATTATTAATAATAATATATTAAAAATTATATTAGAATTATATT